CACACAACACAACCAACCCTGAGCAGCAAGCTACGGCAGCCTGTTGCATCATTTGAACCCAAACATCTGCAGGGCAGGCTACGCTTTGGGAGCCTGCAGCTGCTTGTAGGGCCGTTCTCACCCACAGCGGGCTGTTGTGTCATCCGAACCAGGGAGACTGACCTTCCTGCGGGTTGCCAGAATTAGCCACAGGGCAGCTTGGCAAGAGTAGCCAGAGGCCCAGGCTGCCGGGCTCAGATGGTCTTGCCAGCCACTGCCATTCCACCGATGCCAAAATGGCACTTTGGAAAGGTGTCCACTCCTTCCCATTTTTGATTTTTCAGTGCCTTAAAATGTGCAAATTTGGATCAGATTTTTTTTTTTGGTCAATCTTTCTCAAGTACACATTTATGGCTGATATGAGTCGTTTTGCCTGCTCAGCACTGCAACTGCCCAAAGCAAACAGAGTAAATACTGTAAAGGAAATGGGCCAGTTGAGTTTGCAAAGCAGCCATGGTCCCCAAAAGCAGGGGTGGGTGCACACACAGCCCCTCTCCTTCCGAAGGTGTTGGAATGATAGGTCTCGGCGTCCTCCACCTTTTCCTACCCTCCAGCTGCCCCAGGAAGGGGAATTACTAGCACCCACTTGCTGTGGCTTCTTCCAGGGCGGGTTCTGCGGGCAGAGGCCGAGGTGGAAGGCGCATGAAGGCACGCCTGGCCCGACCGATTTCTCTGTGGGGGGTGTCACGGGCTCCTGATAACTGGTCCCCCGTGGGTGGCTCAGTTGCAGGGGGCTTAGCTACCCACCCACCCCCTCGCCGTAGTCCGAGTCGAAAGGGCAGGATCCTTCTGCCTTCAGCACAAGCAATCCTACTAACAGCACCTATTTTATCAAATGATTGCACACATGCAAATCAAGGGGGAAGGATCCTGTGAAGGCCTTTTCTTTTTGCCAATGAAGCTTTTCACATCACTTTGAAGACAGCAGACGGACTGAAGTGGCGAGGAGTCTGGGAAGGGATTTTTAAGGCCATAGTCTGATCCGAGGAGGAGCACGGGATGCGCCTCGTGTGTAAACCCCACTGGAACGGCGGGGAGGGGGAGCGGGCTCCTCGTGCCGCCCCGAGCTCTTCAGTGGGGCTTCCATGGGAGGGCATCCCAGGGAATTGTGCCCTGAAGTCAAAGCCCCTTCGCAGAATTCGAAACAGAAAATGAAATGTAACTTCTGCCTTTCAGAGTTAGTAAATTTAAAGTATTAGGTGTACCTATAATGCTCACTATTCCAACCATTTTTAAAAGTTTTACAAAATGATTTACTGTCACCTTTTGTTTAAAACATTGTGTAACAGGAAATGAATGTGCACGACTCTACACTTTTCTACTATTCTTGAACTAATTCACAAATGCATGGAAAAAATGCAAACAAAAGGAGGGTGAATGTAGGTAATTTGGTGTTAAAACTATACAGGTATGAAGCGCTTTCTGCAACAGAAAGGACAGGATGGGGGCACCCTGTCCTTGGATGCGTGCTATGAGGGTAACTTTTTATTTTTTTATTATAAACACTATTAAATTCAGACTGCTTTTTTGGTTTTTTTTTTCCTTTATCTGAATATACAAGAACATTCATTATCAAATGTTCATTATCATCAATACTACAAAGAACGAGACACAAATCGCAAGAAACAATGGAAAATGTTAATAAAGCTGAAAGAATTGAATTTTTTAATTTTTTAAGTTTTTAAGTTTTTTTAAAGTTTCTGTTGTTTTTAATTTTTTTTTGTTTTTGGTATCGAAGTTGGTTTTTTCTGGGCAGAAAATAAAGAAAGCAAAAGTGTATGAGAAAAGGCAGCTCACAGGTAATCAAAATAATCAATATTAATAATATTATAATAAAAATAGTAATTCTGGATATGCAAAGATTCACTACCAGTGTATGTACCGTTAAGAAGTTAGTATCATAAACATGATGGACTGCAAGGGGAAAGATGCATTGTTACAGGCAGATAAATGCAACTCCTCCATCTTTTTCCGAAAGAAAAGATATCGTGATCTGCCATGCAAATGGTACGATTCGGGTATTTGCCTGAAACGAAGTCCGAAGAACGAGCAGCGCTGCTGCGTGGCACCGTTCGCCTGCGCGTTGCGGGGCTTCGGGGAAATTCCCTTCCCAGGGGGTCCCGCGTCTTGTTCGCACACCGCAGCGGCCGATACGCAGTTCGCAAGGGGAGCGCCAGGCAGGGGACCCACGATCAAGGAACTTCACCACAGCGGCAACCACGGGGCTGCACCCAATGCCGTCCTTCTGCCCCACAGCAGGGTTAGCGGCCCCCCCGGGGGAGATCGGGGGTGCAGGGAGGAGGAGAGCGAGGGGAAGCCGGCTGGATCTAGCCCGCGGCTCGCAGCCTCTTTCCGAAACCGAGCGGGTGCTTCCAGGGGGGTGCTGACTGCACTGCATGAGCGGCACGAGCTGTGGAGCATTTTCTGCCACCGGCCGCCGAAATAAAGCGCTCACCCTCACACTTGCAAGGCGGATGCCGTCCAGCCAGTATGGGATGCCCCCCATTTGGCCGAATTCCTTCCTTCTGTTGGTGCACCACCCGACCTTTGCCCACGTAGAAAAGGCTGTGTCTCCTCCATTTTCTACCTGGTAAGGAACCCTGCATTTCTCTTAAGGCTGGGGACAGAGGCTGGCAAAGGCTGGATTTCATCTGAAAAATGGGACCAGCCATTTTGTGTGTCTCGCTGTCCTGGAATCTCCAGGCGCCACCTGAATTCGCTGATGCAGCTCAGAAGGGAGACTCTCCATCTCACTCCCCGCCCCCTTTCGCGGCCACTGCAGGGAACCCCGGGCTTTGCTCCAAGATGGCAAAACCGATGCTGGAGGGCCTTGGAGGGGAACGGCTTCTAGCTGCTGACTCACTCCCCACTCATGAGGTCTACCTGGACGAAAAGTTACAAAAAGGAGGATGGAGAGGTGAGGGCTGCCGCAGCTACTATTCCCGCCCAGGCGGCTTCCAAAATTGGCAGATCCCATCTAGAGAGACTCTTGCCCCGCTCTGGCTCAAGACGGTGGCCAATGATGCTGTCACGGCTGCAGCAGGTCCGCATCTGCTCTGCGGCTCTGCTTGGCAGCCCACCTGAGGAAGAATTCTGGAGAACGCAAATAGGGAAGCTTGCGCCGCATTCTGTGGCGTTCCGGTTGAACCTGAGGCTCTGGGGCTCTCTCTCTATGGACTGACCTGGCTGCCTTTCTGCTTCCACAGTGGCCGTACCTGGCGCCTTCAGGTGAGGAAGAAAAAGGCCGGGCGGAGCCATCGCCCGATGTGGGGCCGGCCCTGCCTGAGCGCAGCGAATGGCCTGGCCCTGGGGAAGAAATGTCTGCAAAAACGCATCCCTCGTGGCCACCTCACGACGACACGGATGGCCTCCCCCCACCCCGAGTTCATCCTGCTGGGGTCCCGTCCTCCTAGCGGTCACTCATGGACTGGGAATTCCCTGTTGCGGTGGAAGAGCTCCAGCGCCTCTCCCAGAGCCCTTCCGGGCCTGCCTGGCGCAGAAGGACGCTGCCCTCGAGGCACCGATGAGGCGGCCGCGGCAGCGGGGCCCAGTCGCATCCCTCGTCCTGCCAGGGGTGCTCGGGGTCGCCCGAGGCACACTTTCACCTCTCCTCACGCGAGGCCAAAGACGTGCGAGTGCCGGGGACCATCCATTCACACAGCGCAATGCCAGCGTCCCTTGCTTATGGAGGGACAGCACACTGGCAGGTTCCCCCGAGGAAGCCTCACACCTTCCCTTCCGACACCTGTGGCAGCCACCTCACCTGGCTCGGAGCCCAGCCAGCAATTTAAATCCACCAAGAAAGCCTTTTCCAGCATTAATTTCCAGTGGTCAAGGAGCTCTCCTTCGGTGAGCCTGGCTTGGCGGCCATAACTATTCCCCATCCTCCTCATCACCTTAGTTTTTTTCCTACCGAGAACACAGATCACCTGCAAAGTGATGAGTCAGACTGCAATTTCCCTTGTCGCTAGCAAAGCAACCATAATTGTCCGAGCGAGGCTGGATACACAAATTTGTGAGGAAACCTGTAAGTCAAGTACAGAGCCACGGACACCTAGATTTGTCCTGCGCTGGCCACACACAATGCTAGCAGCTTGTTCCTATTAGTTTCTCAGGAGAAGGGCTCTGCTTTTACCCTTCCTGCTGATGTACCAGATATCCGTGAGTTAAGAATGCAGCACAGGCTGCGGTCTTTTGCTATGCCTGCCGTTCAGCGTGCAGGTTGGACAGCTTGATACTCTAAAAAGCTCTGCTTTCATTTTAGAAATCAAAACCAAATTTCTATCAACAGTGGCTTGGAAGTGAGCGGGCAATGCCTGGACAAAGTTTAGAAATCAGAGGTGCAGCTTTCCATCCCTCCGCCTTCAAATTCTTTTCCTTTCCCCGATATTGTTAGTTTTCTTACCAAAATTCCAAACTCCTTTCCAGACTTTTAAAACAGGAATACTGAAACCAGAATAAACTATGCAAAGTTAACTTTACTACGGCAATCTACTGCTTGTGGCTTATTTGCTTCTAAGCATCTTCCTTTTTGCCCAAGTCCGCTTGGGCCGGAGAGCCGTCCGGAGGGGTGGGTGGCGAAGCAGCAACGCGATGCGGCAGGGGGCTCGGCGGGGCGCCGATGCAAGGCACGCCGGCTGGTGAAGGAGCGCTCCCTGCGGATTCTCTCGGTCTTCTTGGGAGGGATGCGACAAGCTGCAGACCTGCCTCGGAGCACCAGAATTGCATTTATCTAGCCTGTAACAGGGAAAACTTTGGAAGGCAACTCACCCAGGGCTCGGGGTCTGAGAGGACCAGAGAACTGTCCTTCCTTGGAGGAGGGATGGTGCCCAAGGCCCAGGGCAGGGCCTTCTGCTAAGAGGTAGCGAGAACACCGGAAAAACAGGAGGAGGCAGATGCCCGGTGGGCTGGAGGGCGCGAAAGGCGGGGTCCTCGAAAGAACAAGAAAGAACAACACCACGGAAATGTACAAATACTCGTTTTTGTTCTGCTTCAGAATGAAAAATATTCTGTGGTGGGAGGGTGGGCGGCGGTGGCAGCGAAAGCAGAGGTGGCTTCTACCCAGAAAAGAAAGGGAACAGAGTATAAAGAAGTGTCCAGATTGGCTGAAAAAGCATCCCAGAGAGAGGAGAGGAGAGGAGAGGAGCAGGCCCGTGTTGGTGTGCCGGCGGCGCGGGATCCCACTCAGCGGCGTCAACAGGAGCGAGGGCCCCTCCCCTCCCGGCCCCCCGCCCGTCGGGGCGGGGTGGGGGCAGCAGGGATGCGGCGGTGCCGGGAGATCAGTTGGAGGTATCGGAGTGGACGCTGCCGGGCCCTTCTGTGGGGGAGGTCACTGACGAGGGGGTCGTCGCGTCTTGCCAACCTCCGTTAGCCTGGGGGAACAAAGGGAGAGTGTCAGTCGCGGCCGTGGCGGGGCCGGCGCCCCAGCGGTTCCCAGCGGGGGCCCCAGCACTCCGCCGCGGTGCGGGGCAGTCCTGCGCCTTGGGGGGCAGAGGCCGAGGGGCGACCCGTTCCGGCGAGGGAGGCGGGCCAGGTCGACGGGGCCTCGCCTCGCCTCGCTCAAGGCACGCCCGGGCCCCTTCCATGGACGCCGGGGCAGCGCTGGCAAGCCGCCGAGGCCGCAGGGCTGTGGCGCGCGGTGCGCAGGCCCAGGGGCAGCGTGGGGCGCACGAGGTGGCCGTGTTATGCCGGCTGCCGCTGACCGACACAGGCGGCTTCCGCTGCGTTAAACCAGGCGCGCCTCGATCCCGGCTGCAGGTAACTTCCCCTCGAGGCTCGGCTCGCAGGCTGTTCAGGCGCTGCCTTTTGCGGGCGGCACCGATGAGAACCTGGCTTCGCATGAGGAATGCCGAGCGAGAGCTGGCCGCTTCCACAATGCCCAGCATCCCCCAGGCTTCAAAATAAGTCCCGGGCCAGCTGGGTTCACAGCTCACGCATTACGCAGAACTGGTGGCAGAGGGGACTTCACCGGCCCCCGAGTCCCCCTGGTAGCCGACGTAAGGAACCCAGGGCCGGCACATGCCGGTGCATTGGCTTTGCAGCGGCCGCTTGAGGCCCCCAGGGAGGGAGAAGCCCCCACCCCTCCAGGTAAGCGTGTTCATCGCTGGCCATTTATCAAGACGGTTCTCCGAATGTCTGCCTAGAACTGCAGTTTTCTTCTCCTTTCCTCTGGGAACACACCTTTCCCCCCTTCTGCATGGCAGCCCGTCAGGTATTTGAAAGGGCGCTTCTCCTCGGTGCTCCCTTTGGCAGTTCCTGTAAAAGGCCCCACAGTGCTTGCTTCCCATCACCCTGACCCCTTCCTTTTTCTGACTCTGAACATGTTCCAGCAACTCTACTTTTGTCTCGAGTGTGGCAACCAGCATTGGAGTACGGCATCCCGGCGCAAGTCTGCATGAAGTGCGGAATGAAGTGCCACCAGGACTGACGATCTGGAAAGGGCGTCTCCGTGGAGGCAGCGTGAAATCACGCAGCGCTTTCTGGCAGCATCGCACGGCAGACTCATGCTTAGCGGGGGACCATCCTGACCTGCACTCGCGGAGAGCGGGCGGGGTGGAGGGGGCACCTCTCGGGTGGAGCCACTGCTTCTCGGTGGCACCTTCAGACTGGGGAGGGCCAAGAAGGGGGTACGGCTGGCTTCGTCCTGGGCACGGCCCTCTTCAGCATTTTAAATAATGACTTGGGAGAAGAGGTGCAGGGAAGGCTGATCAGATTTACAGATGTCGCCAAATTAGGTGGAGTAGCTAATAGCCAGAAAGGCACAACAAAATTCAACGTGATCTGGACAGGCTGGAGGGCTGGGCTGGAATCACTGGAATGAAATTCCACAGGGACAAACGCCAAGTTCTGCACCGAGGAAAAGGGAACCAAAGGCAGAGTTATGGGATGGCAGGTACCATGCTCAGCATTACCGCAAGCAAGAGGAGTCTTAGAAATGCTGGAGATCACGAGCGGAATGGGAGTCGACATGCAATCAAGCCGATGCTACACTGGGCTGCTTTAAGAGAAGCTTAGCTGCCAAATCGCGTGGGATTTCGCTTCCCCTCTACGTATCTGGCGCCCTTCAAGCATGTCCATCTGTCTTGGGAAGCTCCAGGCGGAGGCCTTTGTGTGGCCACTCCCTTGCCTATGGAAATCCGCTTTGCTTTGCTTTACTCTGCGGCTGTCCACCCCCACGGAGACACAAGCCTCCTTTCATCTGTTCTCCTCCCATGGGAGTCGAATAAAGCAGGAAGGGCTGGACACCGCTCATCGGCAGTGCTAGGCGCGCCCCGTCTGAAAGCATTCCTGAGCCCCTCTTGCCATCAAGTCCTCCCCAGCATCTCCGAGTTCATTAACACGAACTCTCCTGAAATCCAAGGCATGTGTTTGACTGCCCTCGACTTCAGCTCTGTTGGTGACACGCAGGTACGCGAGGGGGTGTCCTGATGGTTAGGACCCCTGGATATGGAATGGGCTTTCAAGGGAAGTGGTGGAGGCCCCATCGGAGAGGGCGTTCAAGGACAGGCTGGAAATGCACATGGGGGGCGTGTCGTGAGCGGAGCCGGCTGGAGTGGGGGTCAGACTAGATGGCCCGGGAGGCCCCTTCTGGCTCACGCTGCTTCTCTGTTTTCCTCGAGATCATGAGTCCTAGCATCACATGCTCCTCAGTGAACTCTTTCCTATCGGGGGAACGGGAGAAGCACAGCCACTCCCCGTTCCTTCCCCCTCCTTCTGAAAGAGGAGATTATCCAAAATTTCCCAGAGAATCCATGCTTATGCACAGCTTGCTGGGACTAGCAGGGGGCCAGGACCTCCCCATTACTTCTGCACTGTGATGTGCTCAGAGGCACATGCCGGTCCTGTGAGCAGGTCCACATTCCAAAAGAGTCGGCAAAGGTAGCACGCTAACCGCACGCTCCTTGATTTATAGAGAGCCGGCAGCCTTTGAACATCTAAGGCACGAAGAGCAGACTCAGCCGGAAGAGAAGGAGAGGGAAAGCACAGTGCAAGGACAAGGTTCCGCTGCTGGTCCAACGGAGACATTGCCCCGGGCGGGAGTGTGCCCTCGGCCGCACTGTGACGGCGGTCCGGCAAGGCAGATCCACACAAGCTGCACGCGGCTTCCCAATCCAGAGAGCTGCTCGGACAGCCCCCAAGGCAGTAGGCAGCCCCCTGGCCTCCCCAGTGGCCCAACGGTTTCTCAGTCAAGTCCTGCACAGCAGTGGACAAAGCCCAGACCGGCACTGGGGGCTGAATCGGAGGAGCTGCCCACCCGCCTGAACAGAAGTGCAGAGCCAGTGGGCGTGGAAAGACGGGAAACCGCTCGGCACAGCGTGACAAGCGGAGATATACTCTCAAGGGGGAACATATAAAACCTTTGAAGAGACAAGCTAAACCGTTAAAATTGGAGCCCCTGGCACTGAACAAGGTCAAGGTTGTAAGTGGTCCCGGAGGAGCAGAAGGGTGCCCGTTTGTGGCTGCGGCAGCACATTTCATGCTGGCGGAGACTGATGTGGCCGGGGAGGCTGCTGCTGCCAGTCCTCCCATCCTGAGGTTCGGGCTCCACATCCTCTGGATCACCTTGCTGTTCAGTCCACCACCGAGACGCCAGTGGTGCTTCCCATGGGAGGATGCAAAGAGCAGCGTGCCCACGGCTTGTCTCAGCAGGATCGGATCGCGCCGGGGGCCCCACCACCAAGCCCGCAGGCACCCATGGCGACAATACTCGGCAGGGGGCCAGGGCCCCCCCAGTGCTGCGGTATCAGGTTTCTGACTTTCAAAAAAAGGCACAGGGAATCCATTCAGGATTCCACGAAGAAAGTAAATGACTTGCACATGTACATTAAAGGCTGTTCGGGTTCAAAAAATGCCCCTTTGAAAGAATCAGCTACTGGGCATTGCCCAAATATAGGTTAAAAAGAAGCACTGGCTGTATCGCTTAGCCAGCAATCCGCTGATTCAGAGAATCCTCTGTTAAGGAGATGCGGCCATGTCTGGTGGACAGCAGTTCTTTTGCCGAGTAAGATGCAGCCCGTGGTGCCTGGACACATGAACGGAACCAGCAAACACCACTTCATGGTGGTCTCTACCTTGGAGCAAATGTGCCCATGAACCCGAAGAGTCTGAGGAGCCCGGGCTGCACCTGCTCTTTTCTTTGCTGGCACGTTTGCTATGAATAGGAAAAACAGGCAAAGAGAAAACGGCATTCCCTGGTACAGGCAAAGAAAGGGCGGGCAAGAGCAGTGGCCACCTGAGAAAACAAGCCCCTCTGGAAACGAGATCGATTGCGACGGCCGCCTCGCCTGCTTCTCCCTGAGAGAAGACACAGCCGGCCGGCCGTGGGCTGCTTCAACCTAGCAATTGGAATGCTGGCAATTCCAATCCAAGGGAAGATGCATCTGTCTAAGGTACCAAGGGTTAGCGCGCCTCAAGTGCAGAGGGAGAGATTTCATGGTTTGTCCAGCCGGTGAACCATGGTGGAGATGCCTGAGAGCACTTGAATCGACTGGCCTCCCAGGTTCCCCTCAGAAGCTCGCACAGCCCTGCGGCTCCAAGGAATGGATGTGCCTGAGGACTGCGCCTTGGTTGGCAGCCCTGGCACCTCCGGGGTCCCGCAGGGCACTCCTCGCCCAGACAGGGGACATCCTTGGGAAGGATTCACAGCAGTTGCAGTCTCCTCAGCTGCTGGAAAGGCTTGCTGAGTCTGGATCAGTTGTACTGACTCACAATCTGTATCTGACTCACATGGGCTGGGTTTAGCGGAGGAATGGAACAGGGAATTAGCATGTCCTATTCAGTCTACGCAGTAAATTGTTGCTTTGGCATCTGCATTTGACACTTCAATGGACCTCAAGTTTCATCTTATTCAACGAAAGCTTTTGTCTCACGTTACTGGATGCCACAATGTCTCGTTAATAAGGGGTTGTCTCAGGTGACTAACAGCGGGGGAAGTCGTGCTGCTCGTGCTTCTCTTAATCACACATTTTCGCAAGGTCCAGCAGTCGCTTCTTTATGGGTGGAAGCTATAATATGGATAAACTTGGAATGTCCTTTAATATATTTGGACATACAACTGCCTGCCTGGTTCCTGGAAGCTTTGTGGACGGTCTGCACCCTTTTGACAGCTACAGATACTGCAGCACTGGGAAGATGAACCTCCTGTGGGGCACTGGGCTGAAGAACTAAGACTGCCAGTAGCGGATACTACTCCCAAATGGATTTGGTCTGCCTTTGTTGAAGCTAACGAGTAAGCAATACATCTGAAGTTACACAGTGGTGTTGATATTCACACACACAATTATTTTCCCCCTTTCCTACATTTAGTTTCTGCCTGGATCTGAGATGGGGAAGGCTGCAGAAACGAGGGTGCCACACCCAGGCTAAACGCACC